TATATATATAGCTTCAAATTTACTTTGCTAGGTTTAGTGGAACCAGTTGACATGACTTGGTTGAGTAAATTCAACAATTCATTTTTTGAGTGCATAAACAACTCCTTTCATGGTGAGTTTGGACAGATTTAATTTTATAATAGGTGTTAAACCTTAAAGTAAAGAAGTAAAAGTATCTTCTTTAGCTTTCAAATGTAATGAAGTAACAGTAAACGTAACTACTTGGTAAAATTACAAATCCTCAAAACATTACTTAAATCGTAACAAATAGGGGTGCAACAATACATGTACCTGTATCGAACCACATCGAACAGAGCTTTAGGTTCGATACACACTTGTATGGAACAATACATATTTTTAAAATATATTTTATCAGCTTGTCTTCTGAAGATGCTCTGTGTTGAAGGATCAGTGGATCTGTGTTCGACTACTCCACCTAGGCTGCATTTTTGAGCGCAGATCCACTGAGAAACTTGCTGTTTCAGCAACTTTTAATTTAAAAACTGTATTTTTGAGGTTAAACAAATGTTCATAAATAATTTCAATAAGTTACAAGTTAAAAGGGGCATGGACATTTCTCTTTTTTGTATCAAAAAAATATCGAACCGTGAGACTAAAGGATCGAACCGTGAATTTTCTGTATCGTTGCAGCCCTAGTAACAAAGTAAATGCACTTAGTTACTATAAACCTATGATTTTTGTTTCTCTGGTTAGTAAAATATCTCATGAACCAACTGACAGGTTTTAATGAAACACTCAGAAATAAATTATTGGCTGTAGATCTATGTCTGATTTAACTTTTGGAGCCAAACACCACCTCAGAACAACATGTCTAAACTCAGTGACTTTGACAGGTATTGAGCTCATATTTGTTATGGTGGAAGCTGACAGTGATGTAATGAAWGAGATTGGTAATGATTGGTTTTAAGGTTTGACCATCTTGGGCTGTAATACTGGCGGGTGACGCTACGCCTTTTATTAGTGTTTTGGTTTCTTGGACTTGAGACTAAAGAGGTTCTCCACAGACCTGCCAGGTGGACAAGMGTTCATGTGTTTAAAAAGGACCCAGCCGTTCTGGTTAACACTGTTTTTACAGCCATACTTTTTAAATGAGATCAGCGTCTGTGGTGCGAACAGTAGCTGTGGCAGCCAGGCAAGAGAGACCTGAGAGGAACCAGACAGCACCGGGCCTTGTTTACTCCCCCCACATACTCCCCCCTGTTTGTTTTCCCTCCAGCTCCGCGGCTCGGTCCGGAGGTGGCGTGTGAGGATTGTTATTTGTAGAGGGTGGGACCGGCCAGGAGCGCTTCCTTTCTGCTCCTTTCCTTTAAAGCCTCGGCGAGGAAGCGTGGACTCGAGCGTCTGCGTGCTTCGTGTTAAAGCCAGACACGTAGTTCTTCAAAACGAGAAGGTCCGCAGCACGTCTGCTCTGTTTATTTTAGCTTCACAACAAAGTTCAGCTCACTTAACCCGCGTAGCAAGCGTTCCCCCGGCGGTGGTGGGCTTCTGTGCTCCGGCAGGTTCCCGTCTGTTGTTCACTTTTTAACTCCGTCTTTCAATCAGGGTTTGTACGTTTTAACGTCTCCTCTCTGGTGAACGGGGGGATTTTTACTGTTATTAAAGGCCCGGCCTGTCGGGCTGCGGATCYTATCCCCCTGTGGCGGCAATTAGGCTGTAATTTGGAAAAGGCAGCTCATGGCCAGACATGGTGGTTCAGGCTGACTTTTGCTTTGTTTTGACTTGGGCTTGAACTTTGCGTCCCGTTCCGTTGAGAGCGTACCGTTCTCAAAATAGAGCCCAGTAAATGCCCCGGTCTTTTTGTAGKGATTCCTAGAAAAGATAAAAGTTCAAATAACTTTACGGGGTCTTGGGAAACTTGCTAACAGGAACATAAGAGTTTTGCCCAAAAACAGCATTTATTTAGAAGACATGCTCCACATCCACCTCTTTACCATCACATAAACTCTATAAATCATTAAAAATACAGACAGATATTARCTTACTTTTATTTTGATCTATGTTTATTTTTATTCTTACCCTCTGTAATTCTATTATTATTGCTACAGTTGATAATGTCACATAGCAATATACTGTTTCTGTGGATTGCTATATGGATCTGCTGCTGCTACACCTGAATTTCCCCATGTGAGACAATAAAGGCTGTTTCTATTCTATTC